GTGGCGCGGAGGAGGAAGTGGCTCGTTTTATTTCCACGCTTGGATGACGCTCGCGGGGACGAAAATAAGAGGCTCTCCGACACGATAAGGACGAGTTTAATCCGAGGGAAACGATAGAGACTTTGAGAAAGTGACTTGGATAAAACTGTGGAGAGAGAGAGAGAAAGAGAGAACTCGTTTGATGAATCGTTCGTGTCTTTTTCTTCTTTCTTTTTTCTCCATCTTCTTCTTCTTCTTCTTCTTGTCTGCAGGGAATATTTTTCACGATCGAAGTAAACTTTATATCGGAATTTTCGACCAAATTTAAATATATTTCTCTACGGTTTCGAGCGGTATCGATCGGATCAAAATGTGCGAACGGTTGAAGACGATTGGCTTTTCATCGAAAACGTCGAAACTTCGGGACGTTAGACGTTGAATCGTCGATACGTTTCAGTCGATAGACCAGAGTTTTATCGACAAGGAAACGCCGATCAATGGCCACATTTTGCGGTAAAAGTATTCGAACGTGTGTGCATATGTGTATGTGTATGTGTGTGTGTGTGTGTGGATAACGTTAGATATCCACGTAACGGAATTCGTGGACACCGTTATTATTAACTGTATGGAATAAATAAGATAATTCTCTCGTTTCTTCGAAGCAGCACTTCGATTTCTTTTTTTTTCTCGAGATGACCAAATCTTTTAGCGAAAATTAATTATCCTCGAAGAAAGCTGCCAAATTCTTCCTTGTCGTTGATTATCGATGAGAATAGCTTGAACAATCTATCTGAAACATGAAACATAACGGAGAGATCCAAGATCTACTATCCCTCGTTCCGATTGACCAACTTTTCTTCGCTTCGTTCATCCGATCTTTCGAGTCAAAAATTCATCGTCGATATCGATTTTCCCGGAAAGAAGGAGATTAAGGAGAAGTAGAAAGTGAATTTTCGACGTCGACTTTTTTTTAAAACGCGGAGGAGCATCTAAGGGTCCACTTGACCCGGCCATCTCGACTTTATCGCTGATCGATCGATAAAACTTTGGCTCGAATGCATAGGCGGAAATCCGTATGGCGGGACATAGAAAGGAAAAGGATCGGTTATCGGCGATCACTCGACGTCAGTTTGGGCGAGAGTCACTCGGCCACTTGCAAGCTGCGCGGCGCAAGATTTGATCCCGTGGAAACGGAGCAGCCACGCAATCTCATCTGGAAAACCACTTTAGGAGGAAAGTTGGAAGGGAGGGGAGAGGGCCTCCCCTTTCTCGGTTAAACACTCGATAGATTTTCCATCGTTTGCCCTCGATCGATCCCTCGAGGTTATGAAACATTGCCTGCTCTATTTTTTTGCGGTTCATCATTATGGATGCTTGGTTTAAGTTGATTAACCCTTTTCTCCCCATTTCTACCCTTCGATCGATCGGTTATCGATTGTAAATTGCAGTAACGAGAAAAATTTGTAGTCGTTACGAAGTGAGACACAGATCGATTATAGATCTTTGGATAAATTGATACGCGAGAGTGCTAAGATTTGTTAAAATCGATCAATCGAATTTAAATATTATTAGAGAAGATTAAGAAAGAAAATAAGAAATTTACTTCTTTATTTCATTGTACGCTTTATTCAAATGTATCGTTGTTATAATTTGGAATTAGATCGATAGAATCGCGACAGAATTAGGATGAATTTCGAGGTGTATTGTATAGGAATGTAAATATTTCCATCATGATTATGGACGAAATCCTGTGAACACAACTGTAACAATAAGCCTTTCGCGTAAACGCGCGTGCTTTCCCTCCGGCTATGTAATTCGAGAAGAGAAACAAGTTGGAACGCAGTTCTAGCAATACCCGGTGGACCAAACTTCGGTCGACAACAATAGGACCCGGCGAAATTGCCCTTGTGAAAATGCCAACATATTCACCACTTTTCCTCGTTCAACTATTTTCCTCGGTGCACATATTTTACCCTCTTTCGCGTTTTTATCCCCTTCGTTTTAGACGCTTTTAAAAAGATATTCTATGTAAGGGAGCGAGTATATTTGAAAGTAAATAACTCGGAACAATTACTTTTTTAGAATATTTCTCGACAAATGAATATTGCGTCGAGGGTAATTGTTCGTTTGTGCGTTGAGGGTATGAATGACATGATAGGTTTGTTTAGAAATATGATTGTCGAAAGCAATTCTTGACAGTTTTTCTTTTAAATCCTTGGAATTAATTTCTTTTTTTTTTTAAAAAATCGAAATAGTCGTCATTAATGAAAAATTTTTGAGAATAACTTTCGAGTTTGTATTTTCGATTCGTGATAGAATTGGGTTAGAATTAATTTAAAAAAAAAATCGACAGTGACTCTCTACAATCAGTAATGAAAAATAATTATTCGAAAATAAATTTGAAAAATTTTATTTTCAAATATATTCAAACCACGTATCACGGAAATTCAAAACGGATCTATTCAGGTCGAAGCGTGTATAATTGTCTGACTAGCCGTATACTCTATCTACTGCACAATTTATTCGATATCGTGATTAATTCTGATGAAAAATAAAAAAAATTTTTTCATCGAGTTTATGAAGTTAACTTTCTTTATGAAACATTTAAAAAGTATAATTCGTATATTAACCTTGTGCAAAGTTACGTGTAAACTTATGTATGTAATGCATTATGTGTGTAAAAATCTACTCGATTGAGTATGATGATATTCTACTACTAAAAAGAAAAAAATGGAATCATAAACAAAGGAAATATGGTATTAAAAATTTGCGTGGATCGATAAAAATTTATGGGTAACGAGTATATCGATGGTGTATCGTGAATTATAAAAGTTAAAACAAGGGGATAGAAACTTTAGACGATGAATTACGAGACTGTAAACTCAGCGTGGCAGGCTTTACCACGCGAGTTACGTTATAGCTTTAAGTAGACCTAGACGATTCTACCCTTGATCTAAAAAACTCACGTGGCGCTACATTAAATAAACAAGAATGTTCGATTTCTATTTTCCTTCTACGCGTTAGGATTAAAATATCACGATCCATTATAGAAACTTTCTCACGATTATTAATATTGAAACGGGTGTGTGCATAAGTCAATAACGAATAACGAAATAATATTATCATCGGGTCTATTCACCCCTAACATTGGAATACATTTTTCCTTTTCCCTTTCGATTCATAATACCTTCATAATACCGAAGATAATTCCTCGTTTCCTTCAAATTTTGCAAAACGAAAAATTTACTCATCGTGGTCGAATATAACTCGATCGATATTTTCCTTTCTTCTCGAATTTTGCTTAGAAAATATCCACAATTAAGGGGTCTATTCACCCCTAACATTCAACATTGGAATAAATTTTTCCTTTTCCCTTTCGATTTATAATACCTTCGAAGATAATTCCTCTCCTCTCTCAAATTTTGCAAAACGAAAAATTTATTCATCGTGATCAAAAATAACTCGATCGATATTTTCCTTTTTTCTCGAATCTTGCTTAGAAAATATCCATAATTAAGGGACCTATTCATCCCTAACATTGAACATTGGAATAAATTTTTCCTTTTCCCTTTCGATTCATAATATCTTCGAAGNTTCCTCTCCTCTCTCAAATTTTGCAAAACGAGAAATTTATTCATCGTGATCAAAAATAACTCGATCGATATTTTCCTTTTTTCTCGAATCTTGCTTAGAAAATATTTACAATTAAGGGGTCTATTCACCCCTAACATTGAACATTGGAATAAATTTTTCCTTTTTTCTTTCGATTTATAATATCTTCGAAGATAACTCTTCGCCTCCCTCAAATTTTGCAAAAATCTACTCATCGTGATCGAATATAACTCGATTGATATTTTCTTTTTTCTCGAATCTTGCTTAGAAAATATCCATAATTAAGGGATCTATTCACCCCTAACATTGAACATTGGAATAAATTTTTCCTTTTCCCTTTCGATTCATAATATCTTCGAAG